AAAAATTCAATTTGGATCTATTTCAAAAAACTTAAATCGAGGTATTTCGATTTTGTTTATGTCGAAACTCGTAGAGCATATGCATATTTGTTTTATTGAATGTGTTTTCACGTTGATTTGTGTTATGTTTGTGTTTAAATTTGTATGTTATTTTTACCCTTATTAGCCTTGAGACAAAAAATAGTTAATTATTAGCCTTGAATTATTTATTTAATTTGTTGTTCATATGTATGTTATGTTTGTTGTTTTTATATGTAATAGTGGTCTTTTAGCGTAGTAAAATATAGAGCCTTTTAGCGTAGTAAAATATAGAGCCTTTTAGCGTAGAGTCTATGTAGTTTTAAGTATGTACTAACTACAAACTCTATCCAATTACTCTTTACAAAATTAATTATTTAATTTATAAAAATAAACTTACAAAAATAACAAATTAATATATGCTGTCAAATTAACTCAAATATCGAGCCTGGAACCCATAGATAATTACTCAGTCCAATTAAATAATTAATTATTTAATTTATTAAACTAACAAAATTCTAAAAATGTTGAAATTGACACACGTTTTAATTAAGGAAAACTTAGTGCTACCGGGCCTCAAATATCGAGCCTCGAACCCATAGATAATTATTAATTAAGGACAGTTTGGTGCGACCGGGCCTCAAATATCGAGCCTGGAACACATAGATAATTACTCAGTCCAATTAAATAATTAATTATTTAATTTATTAAACTAACAAAATTCTCAAAATGTTGAAATTGACACACATAATAATTAAGGATAACTTGGGGCAACCGGGCCTCAAATATCGAGCCTGGAACCCATAGATAATTACTCAGTCCAATTAAATAATTAATTATTTAATTTATTAAACTAACAAAATTCTCAAAATGTTGAAATTGACACACATAATAATTAAGGATAACTTGGGGCAACCGGGCCTCAAATATCGAGCCTGGAACCCATAGATAATTACTAATTAAGGATAGTTTGGTGCGACCGAGCCTCAAATATCGAGCCTGGAACACATAGATAATTACTCAGTCCAATTAAATAATTAATTATTTAATTTATTAAACTAACAAAATTCTAAAAATATTGAAATTGACACACATAATAATTAAGGATAACTTGGTGCAACCGGGCCTCAAATATCGATCCTGAAATCCATAGATAATTACTCAGTCCAATTAAATGATTACTTATTTAATTTATTAAACTAACAAAATTCTAAAAATGTTGAAATTGACACACGTAATAATTAAGGAAAACTTAGTGCTACCGGGCCTCAAATATCGAGCCTGGAACCCATAGATAATTACTAATTAAGGATAGTTTGGTGCGACTTGGCCTCAAATATCGAGCCTGGAACCCATAGATAATTACTCAGTCCAATTAAATAATTAATTATTTAATTTAGTAAACTAACAAAGTTCTAAAAATGTTGAAATTGACACACATAATAATTAAAGATAACTTGGTGCAACCGGGCCTCAAATATCGATCCTGGAACCCATAGATAATTACTCAGTCCAATTAAATAATTACTTATTTAATTTATTAAACTAACAAAATTCTAAAAATGTTGAAATTGACACACATAATAATTAAGAAAAACTTGGTGCTACCGGGCCTCAAATATCGAGCCTGGAACCCATAGATAATTACTCAGTCCAATTAAATAATTAATTATTTAATTTATTATAACACAAACACACAATTAATATTATTTAAATTACAGTAGACGATATGGACTTGCCGCCTGTACATCCTGGACCAACCGAGGATCATAGTGTTGCAGGGCGACCATAGGTCCTCCTATGTATGGGAGAGACATCTATTGGATCAGACTCTCCGCGCTAGGAGACCTGACGATTTGTGAGACTTTTTGAGGCAAAGACATTTCCATGCTCGCGTAGTCCATCGCCTGGAGGCTATGGGCTTCCTTAGAATTTTTCAGATTGGGCGGATGCAGCTCGAGTGGTCTCTCATCATAGCGTTGATAGTGTGGTGGCGACCGGAGACGCACACTTTTCACTAGCCCACTGGAGAGGCCACCATCACGCTTGAGGATGTTCAGATTTTGTATGGGCTGCGTGTAGATGGACTGGCCGTTGCACTGCCCCAGTACATGAGATCTATGGCGCATCCCCAGTATTTGGATTTGATGGGGTAATATACTGGTTACAGACCACAGGGTGATGCTGCACTTAGAGGGGGCAGTCGCGTTTCTATGACAGCTATCAGAGAGCATATGGAGGTATTGCACCCAGACATTACCGGCAAAACAGAGGCTATCCATATTGAGCGGTACATGAGGTTGGCGCTTCTCCTTCTTTTGGGGGGTGTCTTGTTCCCGAACACTTTGGGAAATCTAGTAAGTATGCGCTTTCTGCATCATCTACAACAGCTAGATGAGTTACCCCGATACAGTTGGGGTGCTGCTATTCTAGCATACCTTTACAGGAGTATGTGCCGGGCGAGCATGGGTAGCCAGGTGGACATATGTGGTTTTCTGCCGCTTCTACAGGTGATAACATTTTTGAATACTCTGTTCATTACTCCGAATTCTATATGGTCAAAATGACTCTTAAATTTTACGTCAATCTTTTATCTTAGGTTTGGGCCTGGTAGTGGATCTTGCCGTTGCAGCCACCTTTACCACCAATAGAGCCGAGTGTCGCGCCTCCATTTCTCCCTCTAGCTACGAGGTGGGTTCTCCGGTGTGGGAACTACCGAGGGACTGATGCTCATCATAATCTCCCCCTTGTCAGGGATGTGTTAGATATGCTGGTGGCCGGATAGGTAAATATGTACCTAAACTTGTTATAAATTCACTTGTGTTGCGCATACTCACTTTTATGTTATTTTTTTATAGTTCATCTGGACGCCATAGAGCGACGAGTTGCTAGCCCAGCTGCCCGATTATTGCTCAGTCGACCGACTACTTTGGAGCACTTCCATCCCGATGATCTTCTTCGATGTGTTGAGCATTATGCCACAGAGCGTGTTCTTCGCCAGTTTCACCGTCCCCAGCCTATACCGGGGGAGCCTGCATGAGTGCCTACACATTATTAGTGGGACTACCATACCAGGATGGACGATGAATTTGTAGGA